TGGGGAGGTTCAGGTTGGATATTAGGAAATCATTTTTCTCAGAAAGGATGGTGATGGAATAGATGTCACGCTGATTACATGGTTTAGAGCAGTCACATGCATGGGTTGATGGTTAGATTAGATGACTGTAGTGGTCTTTCCACTCTTTATGATTCTATTTCTTTAGGGTCAGTCCAATGTGACACTGAGTGGTCTCTGAAACTGTTGTTTGACTTTTCTATTTTAGCTTCAGAGGATGTGTTCTGACAGCTCCAAACTATTATGAGAACATCTTTCACAGGCCTTTGCCTTGAAGCTGCAGCGCTTTACGTGCTTATGATCAGCCCTCCTGTGGTGAAGGCACAGCAACATCCTCTTTTTGCTTTGGCCCACCCCATCTGCTGGCTTGCATTCAGCCTTCTGGGTACTGTCCTGCTCCCTGATCTTCTCTTTCTTTCTTCTGCTTATGATTCAAGATACTTTTGTATTTACTGTATATAATTTGCTTTAATAACACAGTCAATTTAAGAGGAAAAACACTGTTTTGAGCTTACCTTGTATGCTACTTCTCTGCCCTCCTAAATGATGTTATTTCTCTACGACTGTAGCACTGAATTTGACCTATTTCTATTTGCTTTTTAAGGACACTGATTTCAACAAATGCTCACCAGCATTAAGATTACTCATTACTATGCACAGCTACAGCACAGGATATTTTAATTTTTGACAGCTTCAGCTTTGTAAACTTTTCTGTAAGCTGTGTGGAAAAAGTGGCCATTTTAGCACATAAGTGGGATGAACTTCAAACAGACGCATTTCCCAGACAGGAACTGGTCTGTAAAATATTGCCACTTTGCATCTGGTCAGGAATAAGCCTGGCTATTGTATCTTGAATTATATGTGCTGAAGTGAGTTGATAAAAAATGGCCAATCTGACAAAACGAAAGTATCCTTGATCTACATCTGAATATAAAATTTTTCAAAGGAAGTGGTAGCTTTTTGTGATGGTTTTTGTATTCCAATAACTGGCATAGATTTCAGCCCGCCAGCCTGCATTGGCTGTTGGTGATAAGGAGATTTGATAACATGTTGGTTTATAATAAAGATCTTCTATTCCCCAGAGATGCATGTATTTCAGGTCACCTTCTTAGGTTTGCCCTTCTGTACTTAATGAAAGATTCAGTATCTCCAGCCTTTATTTATTTTAGCCGATTTGCAAAGTTAGCATCTAGATCCTTCAGAGCAGTTCTTTATTGGTATATATTCTCTCCATGTCCTTTCTGAGAACTGAGAACCAGCTCTGTGTTGCAGGCACCCAGGGAGTGGTTTTCCTTCATCTGCTTGTCTGGTTTGGTGCGCGCACACCCAGCCAGCAAACAAGGCCTGTTCCCTTTACAAAGAAACATGGTTTTATTTATTACAAGTCATTTTACTCGTACGTTTGACTTTTAAATTATCCTTGGCATTAAACCCTCATCTGCTTTGCAGATGGAAGACAGTACTTACCAAACAGTCTTTATTGTCTGGGGTATCCCCAGCCCACAGTCAAACCATTTTGACGTCCTTCTGATCACTTTCATCTTAACGTTGTCCCTGAGGCTCAGTTGGGCTCTCTGGATTTCCCAGGCAGGCAGTAGTCAGCATGTCCTCTGCAAGCTAGGATGAGCAGAAATGGGGCTCTTCTCTTGAGCTGGTTGGACGTCATGTATGGTTTGAAAATCATATCAGTGCTGTTAGCTGAAACTAATCAGTTGTTGCTACATCACTAGCCCTAATGGTGCAAAAAACCAAACCAAAACAAAAAAACAAACCCAACTGCTGCTCCTAATGAGATCATCTGCAAAGACAGACCATACCCTTCCTTACCAGCTGGATCCATGGAGAGGAGCAGAGGAGGGACCTCTTTCCAGGTATGGAATTGAATATATTAGCATTTCAAAGGTCAAGTTTTTCTTAATGTGCACATGTGATGCCATGTTTATTCCTGGTAGTTGCTGGTCTTCTGACTTTTGTCTTGTGTTCTAAACAAATTTTTGGCTAAACTGCTGATGTATCTCTGATGTGACCTAGAACTCTTGGCTCTTCTTCTAGGATCCCCTTTCAAGTTCAGCTCTTCATTGGTACTACCTGAAATGTGTAACTATTCATAAGTCTAATGGCTGGTGCTATTCAGTAGTAAGTAGATTTCACTGCCAAATTTGTTTTGAATAAGGCTTCACAGTGAAGACCTTCACCCTTCTCTTCACAGATGCTGTCAGTGCTGTCCTCATTTGTTGCTGTTCGTTATTGGCTTAAACAAGATGCACAAAAACAGCTGGAAGCACCTCGTTGATAAACATAAGCTCTTTTCAGATCTATCCTCCATTCTTTCCACAATGGCCAAGAAGGTTCAGCCAGTTCTCAGCTGACTGGGGTGAATGGTGTCCCCAAAAAAATGAGCATTCCTTATGCTATGGGGTGACAGCAGTGGGTTGGGTTTGCAGTCTCCTGTCTCAGACCTTGCTCCAGTAGGAACACGGTGGCTGGTTGGCACAAGGCTGCATGTCCTTCCTGTTTGGCTAAAGAACAGCTCTGGAGGGACAGATCACAGCTGAAAAGGACCTGGGGGAACAGCAGTGTGTGGTGTCAGACAAACTGAAGTGCATGCAGAATCATGAACTTCGAGGTGTCTCGTATACTTAGGTTGGTAACCCATTTTCTTTCTCAGTCCCTTTGCTTCAGCATCAATGCTTTGGATGAACCACAACATATTTTTATCTCTCTTTTTTCCACTCAGTTTTGACTATTCCACCTTTACTTTGATACTCCAGACAATGTCCCTTTATTCTACAATATGACATGGGAAGAAGTTCCTGATAAGCCTGCAACAGACATTATTTTATGCGCTTTTATTCTGTCTTTCTTGTTTTTCTCTGAAGATAAGAGTCCTAATCTTTTCCATCACTTGTGAATTGCCATGCCCTTGATCCTATGTCTGTTGCTCTTTGAATCTTTCAGAATTCCCAGTTTCCTTGAGATGGCTGGTTCACAGACCTACGTCAAGACGCTCCATCTTTTCATTCTTCTTTGTCTCCAGTAAAGGGAGGGTAACTCTGATGTTTTTGATTATGAGACTGCAAAACCTTAAATGACTCTTTTAAAACAAAAAAATTAAGTCCCCCTTGATTGCTGTGTTGAGCAATTAACAGAGCAAACGAACCAATAACTTTTAAGGACTACTTCCTTCTCCAGTTCAAGAATCTCTCCCTGTCTTTGACGCATCTGTGCCCTCCTCCTTTTCCTCCTCTTCATTACCAAATGAAATCTTTCTACTGGCTTTCATAGACTCAGATTTCCATGCTCTCTTGGCCTTCCCTATTGGTTCAAGCAATGCACCAAAACCTCCAATTTAACACAATAACTTTATCCTTGTCTCTGGGAATGTATTTCACGGACTTCATTGCCTTCAGCAATACTCATGTAATCTCCAAATGGCTTTTTTGGTTTGTTTTCCAGTTTTAACTCCAAGTGCCTTGTTAATAAATATCTACTCTGTTATCAGTGCAGTGCTTTACTATTGAAATGGAAGTGATATTGCACAGGTATCCTACCTGTTCTTTCAATCTTTGGGTTTTGCTTTTAGTTGGTAAGTATGAGACTCATGAGAGGCTGTATATCTGAATTTCAAATGCAGTGATTACTTTGCATGAACTCTCAGTATATGTTCGCTGGTGTGATGCAGGCTACAACACTTCAAAGTAAACCAAGAGTATTGACACAAAGTAGGTATAAGGTAGCTGGCCTATCATTTCTTATTCTATGCTGGGTAACCTTTCCATAATGGGCAAGGCTTTAACTAAAGGTTCAGCTAATGCTTTCTTTTGAATTTGATCCACCATAATACTTCAAACTAAAGATGTCAGCTGAAGTGAGACACTGAGGAAAGATTAAGATGAATTAAGTAAGGGTGTGACATTAAATTGCATTAGTTAAAGCCCACCAAATCCCTGTATGGATGCTCTGCCTTGAAGACCTAAAATATCCAGTTTCCTTTATTTTATTCTGAAAGGATTAATCCTAAAATGTTTATGCTGGGAGCTTAAGACCTTCTTGCTCTCCCATCTTCGGTTAATTCAACTTAAATGCCTTAGCTAGACAGCAAATCTAAGGTAAGAGCAGATGGATTCCTGCTCCACTTCTAGTTTGTGTTTTAACGCAGAGAAATTGATTCTCTAACTTCTGCCTCATTGTGTCATTTGAACAATTCATGTTAGGAAGAGTACTGTGTTATCATTTATGCTTTTTCTGTCTATTAGGCATCTCAGCATGGGACGTTAAACATCCTCTTTCCTTTTAACCTGGAGATTTATAATGTTAATTTTACAGGAATGCCATGTGGGACCAAGTCAAATGTACTACAGATATCTGAATGTCTTACGTCTACACAAAACCATCCTGACTGACACTGATTTGCTGTCTTTCTGTTTCCAAACAGATATATCTCATATCAAACCATTCCTTTCCATTTTCTTTGGAATTTTTGTAATGTCTTCAAGTTGGTAAAATAAACGAGCAAGTCAAGTCAGACATGTTTGTGCCATTAAAAACCAATCTGATGCGAAGACTTCAAGGCTTCAGGAACAGAGTTCTTATTTAATGAAATTTAGGGGCAGAAAAGATTTTGAAGATGAAAAGAGCTAGGTGACTTCCCTTTGGATCAATATTTTCTGTAGTAAATTCTTTTTGTTTGCAGGCATAGGATGCACAGGTACTCTCAGACATATATGATTCTCTGTATTAGTTAATGTTTGGACAAGCATACCATACCACTGTGTGACTGGTTACTATTGATTCCTGATCTGCCAGCAATATAGGGCAGTGCAGACTCCCCCAGTTGAGTCAGGCTTCCATGGGATCACGGACTGAAAGCCTGCTGTAAGACAGAAGGAAAAAAAAAAAAAAAAAAAAAAGGGAGATAAGAAGATTAAAACACAAATTCAATGAGGGATGTTGAAATAAAAAGGAGCAATTTACAGATAACGTGAGTTGATATTCACACAATGGACTCATTTAATTTTCAGCATTGAGTATTTGTGCCAGTTAAATCCCTGGTGAGATATCTGAATTGAAAAACTGGATGGAAGATTCTCAATCTTTTACTAGCAATTGGTTCCAGACGACAGCTCATGTTGAAAACTCCGGTGTTCGTCTAGGCCCTTCTGAAGCACTGTTCATTATAACACTTGCGCAAACTAACATTAACTAGGGCTACAGCAGATTGAGGGGGAGAGAAATTGAAGAAGGCATTTGGTTTTATTTCTGCTTTAGCATCTGATAGCTTCATGTAATTAAATGGGATATTTGCAGTTTTTCACCAGTTGCATTCGTTTGAAAGAGTGGGACTCTTAAAGCACTGAAATAGGCTCCCCAGGGAGGTGGTTGAGTCCCCATCCCTGAATGCGTTTAAAAACCAAGTATGATGAGTCTTACTTCTTTGCTTTAAATACAACAGTCTTCTTCATATTATACTGCTAATTACTAAATAAAATTTTTGAAAAGCAGGTTCTAATTGATGCGTCTTCAGAGAAAGGCTTGTGCTCACCCTGCAGAAAGCTGTAATTGCTCCATGCCTTTTAAAAAGAGGTTTTTGTGCTGAACTTCCTGACTCAGACTTAACGAAATTCTAAAGATATATATATATATTTTTTTTTAAACAGGTATAAATGAATGCAATCACCAAATTAATTGTCTTTGAAGGGAAAAAAAATCAAGCTTTGTATGTGTACAGCTTCCTTCACTTTCTAAAACTCTATTTTTGGAAACTTAAAAGCTTTATAAAGCCTGGAGGAATCCCAGGTGTACAGACAGATTGGAAGGAGCAATCCCCAAAAGTAGCTATGCAGAGAAGGACTTGGGGGTTCTGGTGGATGAAAAACTTAACATGAGCCAGCAGCGTGCTTTTGGAGCTTGGAAAGCAAATGGTATCCTGGGCTCCATCAGAAGAGGGGTGGCCTGCAGGGACAGGGAGGTGATTGTCCCTCTCTACTCTGCACTTGTGAGGCCCAATCTGGAGCACTGTGTCCAGGTGTGGAGCCCCCAGAACAAGAAAGACAGAGCTGTTGGAGAGGGTCAAGAGGAGAGCTGCAAAGATGATCAGGGGACTGGAGCACCTCCCCTATGAAGACAGGCTGAACGATCTGGGCTTATTCAGCCTGGAAAAAAGAAAGTTCCCTTTAGGTACTGAAAAGCTGCAATTAGGTCACCCTGCAGCCTTTCAGTACCTAAAGGGAGCCTATAAACAGGAGGGGATTCAACTCTTTACGAGGACAGATAATGGCAGGACAAGGGGAAATGGTTTTAAGTTGAGGGAGGGAAGATTTAGGCTGGATATCAGGGAGAAGTTCTTTACCAAGAATGGTGAGGTGCTGGAACAGACTGCTTAGAGAGGTTGTGGGATGCCCTGGCCCTAGAGGTGTTCAAGGCCAGGTTGGATGGGGCACTGAGCAGCCTGGTCTGGTATTAGATATGGAGCTTGGTGGCCCTGTTTGCAGCAGAGGGCTGGAGCTTCATGGTCCTTGAGATCCTTTCCAACCCAAGCCATTCCACGATTCATTAGTAGAGGCTTAGACCAGGTGACATCCAAAGGTCCCTTCCACCCTTTGCAATTCTGTGTGTGATTCTGTGATTATTCAGCAAGCGGGTTAATGACGCTTCTTGTACTTATGTAGAACTAAACAACTGCATGAGCTGTAGCCACATTTTATTAACTCCTTCCTTTGTTCATGCAGAGTCCGTGCAATTATTTTGAAATATACTTATTGCATAAAGTCAGGGCAGATCTTCAAACTGGGTCTTCATGTCATCGACTCTTTCTTAATGCAGTTTATTACACCATAACTAAATGGCACCATCTATGACCTCCACAGGGCTGCAGAATCTTATTAAGGCACATCGTTAAAAGGAACTAGAAGCCCTACATGAAGCAATTGAGTATTGCTCACTCACCAGGCAGATGCATCCTCATCCTAACAGGACTCAACAAAGGATGTAAGCCCTGTGGTGGGGACAAGGCAATCCTGTAGGACAACCTGGGAACAACTAAGCCTGTGGCAAAACACTTTGGGCTGCTGCTGATTGAGTGAGTCACAAAGCTAAGCCTAGTGAAGCTGGTAAATTTCACCCAATAGAGCTTGTGTGGATTCTGGCTTTCATCCAGCAGAGCACTTAAGCACATGCTTAATTATAAGCAAGTGACATCAAGCAATTTAGTTAAGCACGTGTTTAAGCGTGGCGTTGGGCTAAAGACTTTATTTAGAGAAACACGGGAGTGTTTGTAAGCTCCAGAAGAGAAAGAAGCTGAAGGCCTCATGAGGAACCAGGACACAAAGTTGTGGAGATGTGGATGCTTCAGGTGCAGAGCTGTTCCAAGCAACCTGAAGAAATCTGGTCTCCCGCAGTTCCCCACGTTGTTTGGAGTCAGGGAGAGCACCGTGATCACAGAGATGACAGTCTGCTGATTTTGGATTTCTGTCTGGATACCAAGGCATCCCATGGCTGCTGTCCCATGCACACTGCTGGCTGGGTCCCAGTGGGCATGCAGGCTGGGGCAATCATAGGACTGCTAAAGTTGTAAAAGACCTCTGTGATCACAGACAAACCACCAGACCATCCCCATCACATCCCTCAGTGCCACATCTCCACAGTTCTTGAACACCTCCGGGGATGGTGACTCCACCACTTCCCTGGGCAGCCTGTGCCACTGCACCACCACTCCTTCTGAGAAGAAATGTTTCCTAACATCCAATCTGAACTTCCCTAGCATATCTTAATGCCTATTGCTGTTATTCAGGAGGAGAGGCCAACCTCCACCTTGCCACAGCCTCCTTTTAGGGAGCAGGACAGTGATAAGGTCTCCCTCGAGCCTCCTCTTCTCTAGGCTGAACAATCCCAGTTCCCTCAGATGTGTTCTCAGATCCTTCACAACTCCACTGCCCTTCTCTGGACACAATCCAGGGCCCCAGCGTACTTCTTGTAGTGAGAGGCCCAACACTGAGCACAGCACTCGAGGCGCGGGCCCCCCAGTGCCAACTACAGCCATGGCGAAGCCTCGCACGGTTGGAGCTGAGGGCTGCGTGAGGAGCTGCCACACAGAGCCGCGCAGATGCAGACGCTTTGGGTGCAGAGCTGTTCCGAGGAACGGCTGCACGTCAGGGAAACGCGGCCTCTGCTCGTCCCCAGGTCGTTTGGGGTCGTGGCGGACACGGCGATCGCGGAGGGTCGGGACTTCCGGCAGCTGCCCCTTCGCGCACGTTGCCGGCTGCTTCCCAGCGGGGGAACAGCACCGTAGTTCCCACCAGCATCGCCGTACCGTCTCCGCCGGCACCGACGACACCTCTTCTCCACGCACCTCGAGCTGGAAGGAACGGAGGATGGAAGAGAAGAGCAGGCGCGCGGCGCGCAGCCCGCCCTCGCTGCCTGTGCCCGGCTCGTGGACGCGCTCCCGCCCGCTGACCCGCGCGTAACCCTGCGGGCGCTCCGCTCGGCGCGGCTCCGCTCCTCGCCCCGCCGGTCCTCCGGGCGCCTTCCCATGGTGCACCGCGGCGCGGCGGCGCTCTGGCCGCGCCGTCGCTGTCACCGCCAGCAGGAGGCTGAGGGCCGCCGGAGCAGGAAGAAGCCGCCGCCGCCAACTTCCTCTCGGCCTCCCCTCCCCCCCGCCGCCGCCGCCGCCGCCGCCTCCCCTCCCCCGCGCCCCGCCATGCCCGGGGCCGCGGCACGGCCGCTCTGAGCCGCCCCGCGCCGCCGCCGCGTCCCGGCCCGCCTTCTCCTCGCAGCTCTGCGGCCGGTAAGTGCCGGCGAGCGGCGGCGGGAGCCGCGCGGCTCCGAGAGGGCCCGCCCGCCGTGCCGGGGGCGCACCGGGGAGGGGGAGGATCGGGGAGCGGCGCCTCGCGGCTCGTTCTCGGCGCGGCGCTCCCGCCTAGGCCGCGCTCGGCGCCGGAGAGGCCGTTCCGAGGAGGGAGGCGAAGGGAGCCGGGCCCGGGCCTGCGGGAACGCGCGGCCGCGACGGGGCCGCCCGGGAGGGGTCGGAGCCGACGCGTCGCGCCGGGAGAGCCGTGCGGCCGCTGACGGGCGGACAAAGGGCCGCGGGCGGACGGACGGGCGGGCCGCGTTCCTCCGTTGTACCGGGGCCCATTGTTCGCGGGGCGAGCGGGGAAGCCGCCGAGTTGCGACGGGGCTCCCGGCGAGTGCCGGCCCCCGCGCAAGGCCTTCCCTGCCCCGTGCCTGCAGCCCTCCTCGGCGGCGAGCGCGGAGAAGCCTTTCCTCGGCAGCTTGTAAGAAGGGCAGGCGTTCGTGTTGAGGACGTAAATCGTCGCACCGATCGCCTGCTGGGTGCCGCTCAGAGGTGTTTTTGCGCAAAGATAGGATAAATATGCGGAGCCCGGCGACGGCAGCTGTGGGTTTGCAATGGAAGCCTACCTGGAGCGTGACCTCCCCGTGCATGTGCACGTGTGACATCCCGGCTCGGGGAGCTGCTGATGGGAGAGAGCTTTCCTTTCTCTCCAGCGGCACCGTGACCTCTGGGACCGGCAGATCGCAGAGCGGCACGGTCTTCTCACAAATGGGATCTCGGTGGCTTTGTTTGCTGTAGTTGCCCGCAGATGACAGGCAGGCTGTGCGTGCTGGCTAGCAGCGTGTACCTGGGCCTGCCCTGCTTCAACATCTTGGACTGCCCAGATCAGATTTCACTCCTGTAAGTGATACAGCTTTCGCTCCGCGTGAGTTTGGGAGGAGATGAGGTGGAAAAAGAGTGCTAACCCACATCATCTTCTGCAGGCATTCTTAACGCTGTTCTCAAAAGCAAACTAGGTACATTAATGGCCAAAACCAGACTTAAAGTCTGTCCTGCCAGGAGGAAACATGACATATCTCCGGGCAGTGCTAGTTCTCCAGTGGCCTCGGTGTGCTCCTGGTGACAGCTGTCAGCTGCAGAACAGGACGGTGGCAGTGCAGGGCAGCTCCCAGCTCTGCAGCTGGTGTCTCTGGGCACTGCTGGTTCTCAGTGTGTGGGGTTCAGTCAGGCCTGTCACAGAAGCAGCCTTGCTCTTGTTGCGGTGATTGAGGAAAGTTCTAAAAAATTAATTCTTCACTTGCACCATTTCCCTGAAAACAGTTTTTGTTGTCCTCATGGTGAATATTCAGCAGAATGTACACGTGTGTTCAGTTTCCAGAAATACTTTCTTTGTCATTGTTTCTGCATGCCTGCAAGCTCCTCATCCCCAAATATACGTGTGCTTAGTGAGCTCACAGAGCTGAGTAAAGCTGAAAAAGATGAGGCTGGCCTCTTGTACTTAGCTCTCATCTTCTTGTTCTGTCTTCACTCCTGGGGCTAAGGCCTGACTTAACAGATGGCTATGTAATGTGCATCTTAGTTATTGTCCTTCATGTGTTCAGTTTCTGCCATATTGAAAACATACTCTATTGATGAAAAATCCCTAACGCAATGGATTATGCAATCAAATCATAAGTAGGTAAGTCACTGCTTGAAGACCAGAAAGATTAAAAAAATATTGTCTGGAAGAAAAATTACTCCAAATGTTCCAAGTTACATTGCAGGCTAAATTATTCACCTGAAGGGAGCTTTTGTAGCATTATGTAGTTTCTCAAAAGGTGGTTTTTGTGCTCTGTTCAGTGTAAGGTTCATTGATACTATGATTGAAGGCTCTGTGGAGCATGCATATGATGTAGAGAGTTGGTGTGATGAAATGGTAGAGGCTGGAAATTTGTACTTCCAGTTGTGAACGTCTGTGTACCAGTAATGTTATGTGAGTGAGTTATGTGAGTGTTTAGAATTTATATCTCCAGAGAAATACGATAATGCTACATCTGAAACAGCCTCACTCGCTTCTAGCTGGGGTCTTTGCACTACAGGTTTAATGATATCAATTCGGGAGCAGTCAAGTTCAGGATATTAGTTGGTAGCTTATTGATCTAGGTAAAATATTTTTAAATTTACTAATGAGGAGGGAAGGTATGTTCTGTGATGCAGAGCAGGGTTGTATGTGCTGCTGGGCGTTATTGATGTGTTCAGTGATGCCCCTGTGAGAAGTGTGGCTGTGCTGCTGTCCCACTGCAGATATTGCCAGTGGAGACTTGACTGGGTGAGCAGCTGCATGGGGTGGCCCTTCATCAAGCTAAAAAGTCTTTAATTGTTTAGCTTAGTTTGGAATTAAATTTGATTTAATTTTGGCTCTAATGTAAAATACGTTTTTTTCACTGTGAAGTAACAAAAATGAGATAAGAAGTAATAGCATATATATACTTAATGAGTAGATGCAGTGGTGGTGTTTTGGAGACCATAACCTTGAGGTCAGGGTGTCTGATTTTGTTGTCTAAACTCCAAAATCTGTTCTACTGAATGAATGGGGCAAGGACTGAAAAGCAGTTGCCGCTGGACTTATTCTTGTTTTAAAGATTCCTAAGTGGATCTTTAGTGGATCTAACATCATAGATAAGTTTTATTTAAAATAAGCACTTTTTCTCCCTCAGCATGGCATCTTAATGATAGCTGCCTTTCAAACCAACATCATTTATGATGAAATAGATTCAAACCTTTAGCTGACAATCCAATCTGTCTAAATGAAGCCCCATGGACATAAGCAACCACGGATGTCTGCTCTTCCCAGGTTGCAAGGCAATGTGAAACATCGGTGTGGTGATTCACTTGTGTCTTAATTTGTATGCCTCTTCTATATATTGACATCTAAGCAGAAACCCTAAACTGGCATTGAAGTTTATATGTATAACTTAGTGGTTATTAGGAGCTGAGGCATGGCTGTTAGTGGGATGTGTCAGAAGGAGGCATATACCAAGAGAAACCCTTCCTCCAATGAAACAAAACCCATTCACACTTGGAGATTTATTTTCAGTTAGGCAAATTCTGTTAGTTAATTTATTTCAGTTGTCTTTCAGTGCAATTAAACTCCCATCTGTTGAATTCATTAGCACACTATATATTTTCAATACACAATCTTTTCATCATCTCACATAGAATATTTTATACATTAGCAATAATGCCATGAACTACACAGATGTCACAGGTTAAACTTATTTAACTTCTAATTTATCAAACAATTTTAAATACAGTAAGGTATGTGAGTTTTCCAGTACTGTTTCGTATTAAAATGTCAGCCCTTAATTGCATGTAGGGATTTTTCATGGATCATTCAGATATTCGGCATCTTGGATAAAATATCTGGAAAAATCCACCATACATTATCAGTGTGTTAATGTGTTCAAGACTGATACTGAAAGGTGATGGTTTTTACCAGTAATGTAATACAGTTAATGCGTTACTAATTTATATTACTTCATGATTTCATTGCAGTTTGAAAAACAGCGAGGCACAGCTCTTGAACAGAGTCCCTGCATTGGCCTTATCCTGCAACTGATATGCTCCACAGACGTGTTAGTATTGCAGTAGCTGTGTCTTGTCACAGTTTATGCAGAAAACTTGAAGATAGTGCTGTCTAGTTCTCTCCTTATGACAAGGATGACATTTTTATATGTGCCGAATTAAACAGTCTGATGATAAAATGAAATCTGTGTGGGAAGAAGTTCCAACCTGCAAGCAGCAGTAGGGTGTCATTTATGAGCAGCCGAGCAAATGTAAACTGTCTAGATGCGAGGAAAAAAGCCCACAAGGTGCCCGTGAAATACCTGTAAGACAAAATAGTTTATTGGTAGAGCATTCAGTAGTGCTGATGCAGAAAGCTGGGGTGATGTCTGTGTAAACAAACTCAGATGTGAGGTTGATAAACAGCTGTAGAGCAGGAGACTTCAAATGACAGCTATGTCCATAACAGAAAGAGATGCCCATTCATAAAAAACTTCAGTGAGTATCTCAGTGGCATTGGAATGATTGTCCATCAAGTCTGCATTAACTTTTACTACTTATGTACTCCAAAATTGGGGTAAAATACGTAATTAGGAGGATTTACAGTGCCAGCAACATCAAGGCCGGGTCATGCTACCTTGTGCAAGGGGTGGAATGACAAATACTGATACAGGGCAGCTTTTATAGTCATATGTTCACTGACAGCGTTTAAGAAAGAAAAGGGGGACAAGATTCAGATGGTATAAAATACAGTCAACTTCTACATGACTTTTCTGAAAATATGCCTCTTTTTCTATTTTGTTGGGATTGAATTCGAATCAAGCAAATAGTGATGTGCTCCTAAGAAGCGTGTGTGCATATGTGTGTGCGAACATATAAAATACTTCTTGTGTGTATCCGTGGTGATTTCTGGCACGAAGTCACTGAGTGTGAGGAATGTTCAGCATAAACTGGAGTGTGTTTTGCCAAACACGAGCAGCACATGGGCTGCCTGGGATGTAGCTGCAGTCTGTAGCTTGCTGGGGAGGGGCAGAGCAGGGAAGCAGTTCCTGCGTTGGCCAGCTCTCTGCAGGCTTCCCTTGATAGTGGAAACTCTTGCATCTTGCTTTTGACAAGTGAATCCATAGCATTACTTTGCACGCATTCTTCAGTTTTGCAAAAGGAGCAAAAGGAGTATTAATGCCAAGAGATGAGTACATTTCACCAGACTTGATGTGCACAGATGACATTTTAGCCTGTAAGCATTCTAGCAGTCACTGTTTCCAGATGCAGTGGATGATTTCAGGATTTTTCAAGTATACGTACTCTAAAGCAAATGATCATCTCTGCTGCTGACCTCCTGAAATGTCATTCTCTCCTGTTTTTGAACACACACACACACTGATTTCTGGCATGGGTCACTGTTATGTGTCAAAGTCAGATGAAATCTGTGTGAGGTGGATGTCAGGCTTTTAAGCTGAGACATTTATAGCACTGAGCATTTATAGATGCAATAGTAACTATAAATAATTTTTTAAGATCTTCTCATTTCGTGTTCAGAGTTTCTTTTAACAAAGGAGTTCTTTGTGAAAGATTGGTAAACTCAAGCAACTCCTCCTTCTGCTGAAGTCATCTTACATTTCTTAAAGCGAGGCAGCGTTCTGTGATGACCATGGTTGGTTAGCTATGGATAGAGCCAGCCCATCCTCAGATACCACAGAATCACAGGATTGTATGGGTTGAAAGAGACCTCTAGAGATCATCTAGTCTGACCCCCCTGTCGAAGCAGGTTCCCTAGGCCAGGTTGTGCAGGTAGGCGTCCAGGTGGGTCTGGAACTGTTTTAGAACGTGGTCATTGTAGGTTTTTCAGGAGAGTCTGGAATATTGGTGTTCAACTTAACTTTTTGGCCTTATAATCACTGTTTTGGGTAAAACCTACTGGAAGGGTGTTCTGTGTGAATACTGTTTTAACAGTGTAAACCAAAAATGAATAATTCATATAAGGGAAGACTGCCATCATCCCTTAAGGAAACTGTATCAGGCTGCAGTTCTTTGGAGCATCCTTTGTCACTGGTGAACCTGACAGTTACACCCTGGTGAATTTTTGTGAGGTCTGCATAGAGATGTGTGAGTTATAGATTGTCTTCTGGGCATCTGGAAAGCTTGGTTTGTTTTAGGGGGATAAGGAAGTAGAGGAAAGCTACTTGACTTTGATTTTGCTTTTTCCTCGTAGATGTTATGAAGTTTGCCAGTAGTATCTTCTAAAATGACTCATAGAAAATAAATCTGTTATATTTAAAATATGTGTTTTTACAATCACAGATTATTTTTACTTGACACGAAATTAAGGGATTGGGAGGGAGGAATAAAATAGAGTC